TGTTCGTGAAGAGGAATCCTAGAAGGGAAGATTCTACACGAGACCTGCGCACCGAGAGGTAATTGTGAAACAAGGATGATTCGGTAAGCATACCAATGTACTAGGTCCTAAACCGCTTCCGCATAAATCTAAGATTTCCTACAGCTATAATAATCAGACAAATTATAAAATTACTCGATGATGAAACAGAAAAAGAAAAAGAAAAAGAAAAAAAGATTAAACGTTAAAAAAGAAAAAAGAGATGGTCAACTCAAGGTTTAAGAGCAACATGCCCATCTGGCCATCCATTTATTCTGTTTATTAATTTGCTTAAATCTACAATACTTTGGAACCCAGACAAAATGTCAAGTAATTTTGGTGAACAATACTGTACTTGAAAAAGGGTATTCTAATATATTATCGAATTGTAAATAATCTGTACAAAGGGTTCTCTATTTATAGAGAATATTTGACCTAATTTTAACCTAATGGGCTTGGCCCAATACAACAAATAAATGACTAAATAATAACTAAATAATTATTATTTACAACACTCCCCCTCAAGCTGAGGAATAGATATTTATCATTCCCAGCTTGCTAGTAAGTTCTTGAAATCTGTCTAAAGGAAGCCCCTTTGTTAATAGATCAGCTAATTGACGCCCAGTGGGAATGTATGGAGTGGTAATCAACCCGCTATCAAGTTTCTCTTTGATGAAATGGCGGTCAACCTCAATATGTTTAGTCCGATCATGTTGGACTGGATTATGAGCTATACAAATAGCGGACTTATTATCACATAGCAGCTTCATAAGTCCCTCACATTTTATTTTGAGATCATCAAGTACAATTTTCAGCCACAGTAACTCACAAATGCCTTGAGCCATAGCTCGAAATTCAGCTTCTGCACTTGATCTGGCAACCACATCTTGTTTCTTACTTCTCCATGTCACCAAGTTACCGCAAAGAAACATGCAATAACCAGTGGTAGAACGACGGTCAGTCACGGATCCAGCATAATCAGCATCTGTGTAGACTTCTAAAGATAGATTGCCATCACGTCGGAATAACAATCCTTTACCAGGAGTACCTTTAAGATACTAAAGAATTCTCTCTACTGCCTGCATGTGTTTTTCTTTTGGATCGTGCATAAACTGACTGACAACACTAACAACATAAGCTAGGTCTGGTCTAGTAAGGGCCAGATATATCAATTTCCCAACTAGCCGTTGATATTGTCCTTTATCAACTGGAGGACTCTCTTCTTCATAGCCCATCTTGTGATTCTGCTCAATAGGAGTATTAGAGGGTTTACACCCGAGCTTTCCTGCTTCTTTGAGAAGATCAAGAACATATTTCCTCTGGCTGATAAAAATTCCTTTGCTTGAATGAGCTACTTCTATCCCTAGGAAATATCTCAGTTTCCCAAGGTCTTTGATTTCAAACTCAGAGGCAAGCCGTGCTTGCAGAATCTGTCTCTCCACAAAATCATCACCTGTGATAATAATAGCATCAACATATACAAGGAGCACAATAAGCTTCCCATTTTGGGAGTGCTTGAAGAAAAGAGTGTGATCTCCTTGGCTCTGTCTGTATCCTAAGGTCATCATAACCTTAGTAAATCTTCCAAACCAAGCACGAGGTGACTGCTTCAATCCATACAAGGCCTTTTTTAATCTACAAACTTTATTTTCCCACTTCACAGAATCAAAACCAGGCGAGATTTCCATGTAGGCTTCTTCTTCTAACTCACCATTGAGGAAAACATTTTTCACATCAAATTGATTTATATCCCAATTGTAATGGGCAGCAAGGGATAACAAGATTCTCACTGTATTCATCTTTGCAACTGGAGCAAGGTTTCTTCATAATCAATGCCATAGGTTTGAGTGTAACCTTTGGCCACTAATCGAGCCTTATATCTCTCAAGAGTGCCATCAGAATTATATTTCAGGGCATAAACCCATCTGCACCCTACTGCTTTCTTTCCGTTGGGTCTATCAATAACCTCCCATGTTTTATTTTTCTCCAAAGCATTCATCTCCTCTTGCATGGCTTGAGCCCAATTCCTATCTTTCAAGGCTTCATGTACTGATTTTGGGATTGCAATAGAATCTAGTGCTGAAACAAAGCTTTTGTGCTGCACAGAAAGATTAGCAGAGGAAACAAAGTGGGAGATAGGGTATTGAGTACAAGAGGGACAGGAGGAACAAGTTTTCTTGTGACAAGATCTTTTTCCTTTTCTAAGAGCAATAGGTAAGTCATCAGAAGTAGAAGCAATGGGTAAGTCATTAGAGATATCAGAAGAAATAGACAAATCATGAGAGGAAATAATATTAGAATAAAAAACAGGAGATTCAGGAGAAATAGTCCTCATTTATGTATATAATTATCCCAGTAGAGGAAGAATAAACATGTAGAAATATTCATAATATGGCATCATTGTTTTGACATGGTATCAGAGCTTGAGTGACTACAAGGTCACAAGTTCGAGGATTCGATCCTCAGCGCCCCACTTTAAAGTGGAATTAAAAACAAAAAACACAAAAAGGTAAATCAAAGATCGGACATGTGCAATATCCACACTTCAAGTCCAAAAGGCTCTTGTGTGAGGGGGTATGTTAGAGATTAATATAAATCATTAAAGGGGCCTTCACCTAACACTTTAAGATTTTGGGTTGAAGTAGTTCTTTACATGGTATCAGAGCAAAATTAAATATTCAATAATTAAAATAATATTACTTATTATTAAAAATTATTAAAATTTTATTTTATTTAAAATAAATAATATAATATAAGCCGACCTGTAGGCATACGCTTAACATGTAAAAAAAAAGAGAAATAGTTTTCTCCAACTGCAGGAGATAATTATCTCATGTCAGGAGACATAAAAAGACGTGCTTGCAATTTCTTTTCTTTTTTATTTTTCTTTAACTTGTGGGCTCCACATTTCTTATTAGTGTAGGAAAAAAAACTTCTCTCATGTTAAATGAGAGAAGTATTACCCAAAAAAAAAACATATGGCATACCTTTTAAATAGATTTTGTCAAAAGCCTAGACCTGTTATATTTGATTATATGTAATAGGACAAACCTGACCTAATATAAGTTAGGCCGTACGCCAACCTAATTCATTTACACCCCTAATTAACTAAATAAGTTATTTATATATATTTGTAACGAAATTACGCTATCTCCTTAAGCATGTATGTGGTAAGTGGTTGCATTGCAACACCTTTCTATTTTATTAAAATTAAATTTGATTTATCATTAATTCACCTCACATAATTAATTCACGTGATTAAAACTTTCTTAAACAATTCATCATTGATGCTATTTCGATATTATTCTATAAATCGTACGAGTATTTCTTCATTTTGTAAATAAGTTAATTGATTGAATTTTGATAAATATGATTGTAAACGTGGCTACTAACATAAAATACTTTAATACGAAAATGTCATTATTTTTCATATAATTTATACTTCAATACTTTAAAAATATGAATAGCTAAGTAATTTAATGTAATTGAATTTTAAAACATTGGTTCAAGTGATTAATTCACGTGATTAAAACTTTCTTAAACAATTCATCAGTGATGCTAATTCGATATTATTCTATAAATCGTATGAGTATTTCTTCACTTTGTAAATAAGTTAATGTGATTGAATTTCGATAAATATGATAATAAACGTGGCTATTAACATAAAATACTTTAATACGAAATGTCATTATTTTTCATATAATTTATACTTTAATACTTTAAAAATATGAATAGCTAAGTAATTTAATGTAATTGAATTTTAAAACATTGGTTGATATGCTTCTAGCTTTTGTATACAAATTTAAATTTAAACATGAAAAATATGAAAAGAACCCTAAATTGTCATTTTACTTTTTTTTTAATAAAAAGGATAAAATATGTGAATAAATAGAAAATTGTGGGCTATACTAAAATGTGAGAATAAAAATTTAGAATCATTTGAAAAATAATCATTTTTAAATTATTTTTCTTTTAAAAATTTCAACCAATTCTTCAATTAATCGATTATACTGTTCAAGTAGGCTGAACCACCAATAAAATAACCATTATTAGTTTATGCACATGATTGAGTATATATAATCTTATGATAATAGACATATTTTTTATTATATTAATCTTATGATAATAACATTAATGTTATGCCTATTATCATTAATGTCGAATAAATTTTAATTATTTTAATTCAATGAATTAATTACATAGAGTGGATTAATGTAGCCTGTTTATCAATTGTTGTTGCATGGCAACAGAAACACAATTTGAGATTCACCGTAACGATATAAATTTAAAACTTTTTACCATAAAAAAGCCACAAGGATACTAAAGTGACACCAATATACCTATAATAAATTTGAGATGTGACGAAAATAGCGTGTATTTCATAACAAGATTTATTCAAATTTCACATATTTAATGAGATTTTTTTTTCTTTTAGGCAATATAAATAACAAAAAACTTTGGATTCAGTGTTTGCATTTTTAAAAGATATAAAATTAAGTTATTTTAAATGAAAAAAAAAGATAATTAATAAAAATAATGGAACAAAAAATGAGTGATTTTCTTTCTAAATTTAAATTTTATATAAAAAATATTAAGTTATATTTTTCTCTTACACAATTATATATCAATATTTTTCCCAAAAACTTTTCAAGATTGTTAGCACAATTATTAAAACTTATTCGGGGATAAAAGTTATTTAAATGCTACTAAGAATTACTTTCCCTCTCTCTCGGTTACATTTCATTCGGGGGGAACAACATTTTGTGATCTTTTAAAATTTTCCGAGAGCGCGCAAACGAGAGAAAGCAAAACACGACCCGCTCATTGCGAAAAGATTCCACACCGTCCAAACTCACTAAACAAAGATCCAACGGTCCACGTCATCGATCCGCACCCCATCCCCTTCAACCAATTAAATCTCATCTAAACAACCTATATATATCGGTTATACTTCTCAATTCCCAATTCACAATTCACAACTCATTCGATATATTCAACTTCCATCGCTGCAAATCAAGCTCTGAAAATGGCGAAGGCGTCGGAGAAGAAGCCCGCAGAGAAGAAGCCGGTGGCGGAGAAAGCACCGGCGGAGAAGAAGCCGAGAGCGGAGAAGAAGATTCCAAAGGAAGGCGGTGCCGGCGGCGAAAACAAGAAGAAGAAGAGATCGAAGAAAAACGTGGAGACATACAAGATATACATATTCAAGGTGCTGAAGCAGGTGCACCCTGACATTGGAATCTCAAGCAAAGCCATGGGAATCATGAACAGTTTCATCAACGACATATTCGAGAAGCTTGCACAGGAATCATCTCGTCTCGCTCGCTACAACAAGAAGCCAACCATAACCTCAAGGGAGATCCAAACCGCCGTGAGGTTGGTCCTCCCTGGCGAACTCGCAAAGCACGCTGTTTCTGAAGGGACAAAGGCCGTTACAAAGTTCACTAGTTCTTAGGGTTTAGGGTTTCTCTTTCCGTTCCTGTGTGTTTTATTTTAGTGTCTCTCGAATTTTTACTTCTTGTAAAGACTCGTCTTGGTAATGAAAATTATGATTTTGGCTAGTCAATGAAATTTATAAATTACTGGAATTAAGGACTAGTTAATAAATAACCAGTAAACCAAACTCATGATCATTATTTCAAAAACGAAAAGAGAGCAAACACTTGAAACAGAGCACGTGACAAGGAAACGTACACCAACAACAGATTATATAACACTTTGAATGGAAAAGGGAGTGAATCTTCTCATTCTCATGTGAAACAATGGTTACGTGGTTATGTTATTTGATCATAACTATTTATTTAAAAATCATACACATTTTTTCTCTATTATCTTATCATTAATAAGTGGTTGTGATCAAATAACATAATCACATAAGTACTTTTTCACGTGAGGGGATCCACTCTCATAGAAAATAAATAAATAATCACTTGGCAAGATTTTCGTGGTGCTGTTGAAAGTTTAAAGTCCTCCTGAAAAGCATTATGTGTGGCTCGGGGCTGTGAATTGCATAATGAACCCACCCTCGGCTTTGTTGAACTCCAATCGCACGCCATTCGTTCTGCATCACAAAACATACATATTTTGTGAATTTCAATTTCAAAACAAAAAAAAAATCATAAAAAAATTGAATGTGAATTAGAAAATCATTACGTACTTCAGTGAGAAGGCGATTCTTGGGAAGCAGTTTGGCAACTTCAGGAGGCAGAACCACATGCCTGAACAGAAGGAAAAAAAAAGATGTTAGGGTTAATGAATAAAAATGAAGGAAAAGGAGGAATTGTGGATGTGGATGTGGATAAGTTACCTGTACTCGTAAGTATCGTCGAAGTACTTATCAGAATACTGGATCTGACCCATCACTAACAAGGGCTCGATTCGATTCGATTCAATTCGATCTGGTTATCCTGTCCACCACAATATTCGCAGGTGAAAATCTTTGATGTATGAAAACTTTGAATTCAGAGAAAGAAAACAAGTAATTAAGATCTGATTGCGCTGCATCGCCAGTGCTTACCTGAGAGATCAGAGAGCGTGTCGCAGAGAGACGAAATGGAGATTTGGGGGAATAGATATTAGATATATGGACGGTAACAGCTTTTATAATAAAACGATTGTACCCTAATAATGCCAGCATATACAATCAAAAAGTTTTTAACGGCTAGTTCTAGGACATGCTTATTTTTTTAAATTTCAAATTGCTTGACTTTCCGCTTCATTTAACGCGGAATTTTGTACGCAACCGAAGTTAGGTATTACGTATTAACACATTACAACATTAAAAACTTGTTCTTTCCCTATATAAAAGACTGGGATAATCATTTCATAAATAATGTAACTTACGGATGCATATACAGATATTTAAACTAGGATAATATATACGTCCTTTAAAAAAATTTAAAATCCCTAATTAGGTTAAGCAAGGATGCATATACAGATTCCTGCCTACTTCAAACAAGCATTTTCGCAAAAAAATTTATTATCTAAACCAATATTTAATTTAATGCTTGGCACTTACAAGGGTGATAAACTTAACGGAATTAGATTCCTTCGATGGGTTTTACTCTTCCCGAAACTACTTTTTTTAAGAAGTGTTTCTCACTCTAAATAGATATTTAAATGTTTGTTTTAAAAACAAACAGAAGTCAAAAAATTAAAATCCTATTTTTCCTTAAAGCAAAGTATAAAAAGTATTAACACATCCACTAGATTTAGGTGTACCTTAACATAATTATGTTTTCCAAAGTTAGAAAAAAAAATCTTGTTTAAATAAGCACGGTACAATTCAGATACGAATATAACACGAATTGATTACTTCAAAAATGTATTTTCAAAATAAAAATAAAAATGAGTTTCAGTATTCTAAACCAAGGTTTAATACTTGCCAATTTATGTATTACAGCAGATTAAGCATGAAACTAAGGAAATTGAGAACAATATACAAAATGATACCGAGACGTGCCTCTAATTAAACGATAAATAATATAAAAAAAATCCAGATTATTAGATTGCCAACAGAATCACGTTGAAACCGCTCTATGGCGACTAATAAATGAATTTAACATAAACCAAAATTTTGGCAAGTTTCTCAAAATCCCTTGTCCCGGTTTCCTGTATTTTAAACCCTAAACTCGTTTCATTTCTTTGCTACAAAAAAAAAAATTAATAACAGCCAGAGAAAGTGCTCTGTTTTTCTGTACACCAAAAAAGGCATAACCCTGTACATACTAAACGAGTGTGTTCAGCACCCAGCAAACCAACCAAAAACAAAGGCCATTTCACATGGAGACTTCCAAAAAACTTTACACAGACTCCAGAGTGGCAAAAAGCACTTCAGAGTGCAGCAACAGGCTTCTGTAGTACCGAGGTCCCTTGAAATATCATCATGTGATAAAATTTCTTATAATTGTTTATCTGTTAATGAGGACAGTAGTTAGTCTAATGAGTAGGCAACCAATGAAACTCTAAAAGCAAACAACATAAGAAGTTACACACCTCTTCTTGGTCTAGCTTTGTAAACCCAAATTTGCTGGTCCATATTGATTCAGCTTCATCAGCAGCCGGTAGTACAAGGTTTCTCACATTTAAAGATCCAAGTAGTCCCTCAACGCAAGAAAACAGGCACTGAAAATAGCCCTAAATAAAAAAGAAATCATTTAAAGTTAAAAATATTTGCTGACATTCACAAAATCTTCATTTACTTAAATAATTAATCAAATTAAAAAACACTAGAGAGCTGGGTATATTTATCACTGAAGCAAATCAAACAACCTGTCCTTGGTAATCAGCAACTGTAGCCACTAACGGAAGCTCTGCTACTTCTGGCCCAAAGACACGAAATATTCCAGCAGACACGACAACTTGACTGCAAAATAATAAAAAAATATAAATCTCTTCAAGCCAAATATGCACTTGGAAAAAAAAAATCATTCCACACTCATCCTTACTTGACAGTGAGCAGCACACAGTACATTCCACCAAAATCTTGACCCCGGATGTTCCTTCTGTGGAAATCAAACCAACAAGAGGGAAAAATCATTCTCATCCATAACTATCAAAACAAAAGACCAAAACAGAGAAACAAATAATGCTTACCCATACAGCATTGTTGGAATAAAATCACGACCAGAAGTAGAATCAACTATCGGATCAAACCTTTCCTGGAAAAAGAAAATATTCCAACACTGAATGAAATTGCACATCGCTCAAGCTAAACATATGATAAACTTAAAGGTAAGCCTTCAAAAATCCAATTGCCAACTGTAATTAGCTCTCAATTTCAATACTGACAAAGTAACTGAACAAAAATCAAAACTGAATAATACACAAACACTAATATACTCACATGGAAGATGGAAACAGCCTTCGAAAGCAATTGCCTAGTTTCAACAGAAGCAGATAATTTCCAGTTGAGAACCCTCCATTTAATATCAAGACCAACCCCATTGTCTAAACCTTTTTCTTCAAGCTTCTTTTTAATCAAACTTTGAAGGGAATCTGAGAGATTCTTCTCACCACAAGCCACCAAATTCATTAGAGTAGAATGAATTTGATTGCAGTTTGTACTGCAGAACCAATTTCCTTCTGGCAATTCCTGGTAAATAACCTCAGTCAAAAAATGAATGTAATACAAAAGGCAAATGAAATTTCAATCAGAGGAAAAAATAAATTATGTTACCTCAAGGTTCTGCATGTTATGATCCTTCAAACACCCTACATGATATTCCTTCTCACACTGCAAGAACACATCAATGAGTGCTTTAAACAAACCCATTGTGATATCACTAAAAGTAACAGAATATTAAGGCTTGGCAATTTATAATTAACATAAAGCAATACCTGATCACAAATAATTACCGTCCGAGGACCAAAGCTTTTACTGAAATCATGACATCTGTACATCACATCAAAGCATCAGGAGGCTGAGAATAATGTTCTTAAATATAGCTTTTATATGGCCATCTTTAAGAAGAAACACAGATTCAAGTGCAAAGACTTATGTCATAAGCCAGAGCAAGAGATAACTGTCACATGTCCATCATATCAAAGAAGAAGGAGAAAAGATTGTAGACATTGTGTGTAAAATCACTATAAAACTTGCAGAAAAAATAACACAACATTACCTGCACAAGGCACATCCACCATGGTCAACAGCTACAGTTTTGACAACACGAATGCATCTTCGGTTTATCTGTTCTAAAGGATCAGTTCCTGCGATCCTTCCAGCTGCCAGAGCATTCAAATTGTTTTCCCCATGTTTGTCATTTTGGAAAAGATTCTGGCAATACTTACAATACCAAGTACCACTTGGAATGCAAGGAAGAGGAACACAATCTGGAATTGGCAAACATAAAACAATGAGACATACAACTCCAGCTTCTAGTTCAATATGGCAGAGAAATATAAATATATTTATATAAAGCACATAAAAAAATAAAAAGAAATCATGAGATCAACCAGAAACATTTTGTTTATAGGCATTAAATTAGAATTTATACAAAGCACGTGTTCTTTGCTGTGCTCTGTTTTCCTTTTTGGGTGGCTAAAAGCTGTTGTCAACCGTTGGCCAGTTCTTTTTCTATATCAAGCTGCTTGTTATGATGTTCTGTTCATCTAACTTAATGCAAGTATACAAGTTCCTCAGCTTTTTGATTATTGGTTAACTTTTCTATGTTTCAAGCTATTAAGAATAGACATGAGATAACATAATCAAACTAGAACCAAGAAACAAATAAAATAAGAAGAAAAAAGGAACGGAAGAAATTCATAAGGAAAGAAATCAATATGGGATATTCACAAAGATGATGAAAAAATTGAATATCACATATTTATATATGGTAGCATCAAGCTTGCCTTGAATTACTCTAAGACCATAACTGTAAAATTCTGTAGAGACCCGTATCCCTGTATCCCTTTTCTATTCTCAGTTAACTGTCTACTCCCATTTGATGTTTAAGAAAGGGCTGTGTACTATGATGCTCTTTGCTCTCTTCTTTTTATTCTTTTTAGAGTAGCAAAAAGTCATAGCCAACTTGCCCGTTAGTTGTATCAAGTTGCTTGTAGATGTTCTGTTCATCTTACTTAATGCTTGTATGTCACTCATCCCACAATTTGAAGAACGGGGAGGAAAAACTAAACCACATTGACACGATCTCTATTAATTAATTGTGATGAGTCAGCAGTGGAAGGATGAATTGGTTAGAGTGGTCACGTGAACAGAAATGACAGCAAGGGGTTGTTACCAGTCTGTTATAAATAGGTAGAGGAGGAGGGGATAGGGGATCTTTGGGACTTGGAACTTTTGGGCACCTCTTGGGTGATTTGGGAGAGACTAGAGCCTCTCGAATGCTCTAGCTTATAGTTTCCTTCATTTTCTTGTATTTTCTTACACTTTCCTTTCCAATATAGTTTGTAATTCTGCAGTTTGATATAAAATACGTTTCATTCATATTTTCTGGTTCTGTTGTTTTGGTTCCTATCACACATACTTGAATTTTTCCTAAACTTCAACAGTACATAAATTAATTTAACAAAGCTAGAATCAAGAAAAAAATCAAACAAAGAAAAAATTCAACATTAGAATTCAAAAAATGATGAGAAAATTCAAAATTTGATAATCAGACATTTCGTTAATGGTATCCATCTAGCTTTCCTTCAATTACAAGTTATTAATTACTTTGTTTATTAAATCTTACAATTAATAAGATTAAGAATTTACATAATAGTCCTTCCCAGTCAGAGTATCGAAAGGTATTTTAACAACCATTCTAGAAACTAATCCCACTCAAATAAAAAAACAAGCAATTTGACAATAGCATCATTTTTCAGCGTAATCAGGTACCATCTTGCATTACAAGATGGGGTAAAACAACACACATTAATCCAGAACTAATTTACACAGCGAAAAAGCAAAAAACACTTCACCTATGTGAAATGCTCTTGGGCATCCATCACAACACAAAAGATCCCCTCCATCTTGACATATGCTGCAGAGGTCATCATTATCATTGCTAGAAAATCTCCGATCTTTTGATAAAGAGATAGACAACTCATGGAGTGAGACTCCATTAGATGTGTATATGTGAAGGTAACTGCAATACAATAAATCAGCATTAAACAGGAAGGAAATGATGGTAACTTTTACAAACACCGCACTTCAATTCATGGTGGCAAAACCACGGAGACCTTAGAAATTGTAAAATTAAACAAAAAATGGAAAAAGGGCAGAAAGAAAGAAGTAATAAAACAAAAGATAATACTCATTGTATGATGAGCGATTAATGTAAAAACAAGTGGTGCAAAAATGGAGGAAAGTGAAAGAAAATTATGGAGAGAAAATCAGTAAGAAAACTTCATGTTGAAGGTTATCATACTGATTACAATTGATCAGATAGACTACGCTCTGTTTATAGAGCTGGACAACAGAACACTAAGTGGGTGTTTAGATGGGGTTTTTTTTTTCTAAAAAAAGCTGCTTTTTTCTCTCAAAAAAATAGTCATTTTGAGTCATATAAAAAGTATAACTCCTATAACTAATCAGTCTAACAGAGTCAGATCTATGATTCTATAGAACATGCTATACAGTAGTAACAATACAGCAGTACACTCGGATAACACTAGCAGTCAGCCAATACAATCTGATGGTATATCATAAGTAAACTTATCTATAATATAATGCAAAGCTAGATAGACAATGCAGATAGACCCTAGATCCAATAATAAATTTTAAAAAAAGAACTCACGGCTTGCGTCGAGATGCCCAGCCAGCATGAGCTTCAAACTGAGAGGCACTGACCTGCAGATCCAAAAAAAAATTAAAATAAAAAAGCACTGGAGTCAAATATCGATATGAAGCCCAAAATTTCGCACAATATATACTACATCATAAGAAAAAGCACCTCGGAGTTGCAGCAGGTACAAAAAATTCCAAATCCCTTTTTGTAACCAAGCAATAGTTTCTGACCACACAACAAAAGAAACTCAGAAAAGATAAAAGTCATAAAAACAAGTAGAGCAGAACACATCTCAATCAAAACAACCTTTCCATGAGCATAGTAGGCTACTTCAGTTCCATCGGGCAACACATCTTCTTCAAATACCAACTTGTGCAACCGTAAATCCCTTTCAAAATTTTAAAAATAAAAAATAAAAAAATGGGCAAAAATTAAATCCCTGATTGGATATAACATGATATGTTAATACATGAAAAAATATGTACTTCTAAATTCTAACCTAAACAAATGTTTTAGATAAGTCCTTTACAAACACTTACTTTCTAGTTAGTCTTCCTTGACTCTTACCACGAGATGTACTGTGCTTCATCCCATTGTTTAATGACTTTGGAACGACAACTGGTTTTGAAACCACAACTGGTTCTGGTGATCTGAAATAGTTGGAACATGCAAGCATTAGATAATGATATGTGGAGAAATTTTAGTGAACTTTAATAAGTATGTGTACTCAAATACAGGCATGCAATGTATTAAATTATTAATTAGTAGTTTGGTGCACATGACCTGATGCCTAGTCTACAAAAGTAAAGTGACATTAAATAAAACCACTTGTCATCTGATACTATTTACTAACGAAAGGATTAAAAACTATAATAAATAATAATAAGCTCTCCGTTTTTTAGCATAGGTAAAATGCAGAAGGGTGTAAAAAGGTCGACAAATACTGCAAAAGTGTTGCAAAGATTTTGCATAAATTTTAAGGTAAGCAAAGTTGCCTTGATGAAGCACATGCTTATCCTAAATTCAGGTACTAGGATGTACTCATTATGCTTTTATAAAAAATAAAAAATAAAAGATACCTAGGTTGAACTGCTGGTGAAGCACTTTTACTGCTTGCTGCAGCTGTTTGAGGGGGGCTAGGTTGAGAGTCTTTCAATCCTAGGTTGAACTGATACCTAGGTTGAACTGCTGGTGAAGCACTTTTACTGCTTGCCACAGCTGTTTGAGGGGGGCTAGGTTGAGAGTCTTTCAATCCCACGCATGAATCACATGCTAGTCTTGAGACAGCATTGCATGCATCAGAAATAGACCCTGCAAATGATCAAAATTACTTGTAACATAGCGTGAAAATAAGTAATGTAAAATTGCAAACTCGTTGAGCGAAGGGTAGGAAATCAAACATATGCATTTCAAACCTCTGCAGCCAAAACAGGTGATAGATTTTTTCATAGTGAAGCCAACGAGGACCTTTTGTATGGCTTCCTCCAAGGTATCCAATGGAACACTCCAACAGGCATTTATGACTTCGCGGAGGGTATTACCATTCTCAAGGTAAATATACTCTGGGGGACGTTTGTTTGAACTACCAGCATGCAGCTCAAACACAGTGGGTGTGACTACCTACTCTCAGCAAAAAACAAAAAGAAAAACCACATTACTAATCTATGAAACGTTAGACGATACCAAAACATGACCGTAATTTATGTTACCTACCTCAACCCCCTTACAAATCTCACAATAGCACAAAATCCCAGCGCCACTAATCACTCCTCGGAGGCCTGTTTCACCAGGTCTTCGTGCCTACAAGTTTTCTCAAATGCATAAAACTCACACCCGAAGCAGAAATTCGCAAATATCAACACTGAAAGAAATAAGAAAATCAGATAATAGTATAATACCTTCATTCCCCTGACATACTTCACTGGCAGCCCCTCAAGAATCCCTGTCGCCAAAAGATCCTTTAGCTTTGTAGGGAACTTCTTCGAGGTAGTCTTGGTCATTTTTATTGGCGTTGGAACGGTTCTTAAAAGGGCAGGCTCAGTTTCCCTTTTAACATTATCATCAATTCCAACAGCTAGAGCACTAGCATCAGCATTAGCATTTTCCCCATAAGTTATTACCTCTGTTTCATCAGATTTTTGCTTCAATGCTGACCGTGTAAACCGCCTCAGCGGCTTCTCCATACACACTTTCTTCCCCTTATCATCATCATCAGCAGCAACAACAATAACCGAAACAGGGGTTGTCTCAATAGTGCATTGTTCCTCTTTGACCACGGTATCGCAAACTGGCACCACCATGCCATCCATAACCTCTTCTTCCTTCAAAGATTCAACCGTACGAGGCTCTTCGTTGATCACAGTTTCCACAACATCATTCTTCGGCTCCTCTTCGTTGATCACAGTTTCCACAACATCATTCTTCGGCTCCTCTTCGCATACGGGCATTGCAGCGGATTCTCCCACTTGGTTCTTGGGTTCGTCGTCGCTCGTGACATCAACGACGTCGCTTTTAGCTTCCTCCTCGCTCGTTGCATCAACCACATCCTCCGAATTTTCCAGCGCTCCCTCGAAAGAACCGGACTTCCTGGACCTCTTGCCGGCCGGAGCGGTCTGAACCGGAACAACTCCATTCCGGTTCTTACTGGCCCTGGTTCGACCCAAAGAACCACCACAGATCTCGGATTGAGCCTTCATGGCGAATGCAAACTCCCTCTTGAGACCCGTCCGAACCCTAGAAAGAAGCAAAAACTCATCCGAATCCGCACCTTTCGCCATAGATCGATTCAATCACCACAGCTTCGTTCGCTTGAATTTGAAGAAACTTTAACAGAAAACTGAATAAGAAGAGGGGTTAGAATTTAAAGAAGGTAAAAATTAGGGCTTTCAAAAAAACATAAGGAAGAATTGATTTGGGATTAGGGGTAAAGGAAAAAAAGATAGGAGGGGATGGGATTTGGTGTGTGGGGTGGGTTTCCTTGAAGAAGGGCGAGAGCCTGTTCTTTTCTCCAATGCCAAAACTAACCCTGCGATGATGGCGATACGGTTTCTCCAGTTTTTCCATTTCTCCTTGTGTTTCGTGTATTTCTAGTTTCTGCCTTCTTTATTTATACACCCCATAATAATCTGTTTAAAGTATTACTCATAAATTTCTCTTGTTTTAGGGGTTTGATACACCATTTTCCATTTTTTTATTATAAGTTAATTTAGGAATTTTTTTTTTGGGATTTAGTAATCTCATGTTGTAGGAGAGTGTTATCTCCTACCATAGACACAATTATAGGTGGGGTCCACTCACTTATAAAAAATAAAAAATTACAAATTAAACTACACGGAAATCAATGGGTGTGTAGGAAAAAGATGTTATCTTATGTTGCATAAGAATAATATTTCCCTTTTTTTTTATATCATGAAATACTTAGCTAAATATGTTTCTTATGTTGTCTCATGCAACAGGCAAATTATGTTGCACCGGATACGCACATATTCCGTTACGTTAATTCTAAAAAAATATATTAAATTCTGGTATATTAGGACACATTATGATATTAAATAATATTTTTAATTTATGCAATTAAACTTATAATACTCATAAATTTTACAAAGAAACATACGATACAAATATTTAATATTATAATATGAGAGAAATAAGTAAAATGTTGGTCCCATATGAACTCAAAAGATGATGAATTGAGTTTTATAAAAATAATTTGCTAGTTAAAAATTGGATAAAGGATTTCTTCAGTCACCAGAGATAAAGTTATTTCCAATGAGCTCAAAACGACGTTGTTTTGGAGTGGAAATCAAGGTATTTTTGTAATTATAATATACTGCAGGGTTATATTAGTCTTTGTCATTATAATTTTTTAATCTTATAACCTAAAACGACGTCGTTTTGAGCTCACTGAAGATAACTTTATCTCCTATAACTGCAGAAATACTTTTCACTTAAAAATTAGTTCAAAACAATAATTCAAGATAAGGATAGAACGATATTGACACAATAGTTTTTAAGTAGAAAATCCAATAGAAAAAAAAAACACGAGCCCCTAATACCAAATACTGAAATTCGACGAGCAACTCTAATATGAAACTTGCATACATAGGATAATTTTATCATCCGTCACACGAGAAACACTAAACCCAAAATTTAAAATCCTAAAAAATAAAGAAAAGTTTATAAACATAAGGATTACCGTGTTTTAAAAACACGAAAAATTTATAAAAATAAAGATAATTGATTACAATTAAATCAATCGGTTACTCAATAATTTCAAGCTCAAAACAAATCTTAAACCCTAGCCCCAAAAAAAAAAGCCAAAATTTGAGTTAATATTATTATATCGGTATAAGAGTAAGAAGTTTTATGCTCAGTCTCTGTCATTAATTTGCTTACATCTAATAGCTCACGCACATCTAATAAATCATAGTCGTTAAATATAAATAAGAACAATAGACAAAATTAAAAGTGTAACTTACATTGGTATAAAATAATCTTGACCCTATATATACATTGCAAACAAATGACTATCAAATTTACTACTTTATTTAAGGAGATTAATTTTTTCATTTTACATAAAAAAAATTTATGTGTTACATTACACACAATACATAAGTGCAGTGGCAGACTTAGAAAAAATTTATGTGTGCACATTCAAGGTGGGGGTTCGGGGGCAACGCCCTTGAAGATTTTTTTTAAGAAATTTTTTAAATGTATTAATTGTAGTGGTTAATTGATCAAAAACCAACCTCTATCGATGTCTATTTGATCCAAAGTTGACTACTTTTGCTTCACAAAAAAACGTGAAAAATCCCATGCGATTCTCCTCCACTTGATGAAGATTGAATTTCATGAATCATTGATATCCATTAAGGTTTGGAGCTAATAAAGTTTATGTTTCAAAAAAAGAAAAAGAGACAAAGCAATAGGGTAGGGTTTAAGCTTTAAGCTTTTAATTATATGGGTTGGGCTTGGGTCTATTTTTATTTTATTTTTTTCAATCTTCTTAATTTTTTTTTACTTGATCTAAATCACCCACTCCTTTAAAAAAATAATTCTCAAATTTTTGTGTCTGCATGTGCAGACACAGGCAACAACACCGGTCCGCCTCTGCATGAGTGAGGTTCACAAAAAAAATAAGAAGACAAAAAAATAATATGAACCCATCTTTTAATTATGTGAGTAGCATATGAAAAAATTTTCTTTTATAAAATAAGAAAATTATTTTTCTTTATTTAAATCGGGTTTTGATTGAAATCTAGTTGATTTTGAATTAAGGTTTCTTTAAATATGCGAGGCATATTTTTGGATTATAAATTTAATAAATAAACAATAATATATTGTGCTGTGGGAAAAAATATCAATAAGTAATTTGTTTTTAAGCAAATCAAACCGATTCTAACTAAAACTAAATTAAACTACTTGTGAATTAAGTGATGTAGTGACGAATTGATCAAACTTAAAGAAATATAAAACTATCTGGATTGCTATGCTGGCCTCAAAAGAAGCAAAATTTATTAATTGAAATTCGAGCGCGGAATGAAAGGGCGCGGATCGGTATTGTTGTAAGTTGAAATTTCCGTATTACGAAGTCATATAAAGAGATTGATTGGTAGTTGAACAACTTGTTCGACTTAATTACAATTGTTGTTTTGTTCTTTTAACCTGCAATAGCCATGTGTCGGACATAGGGGGATTTGATTCACAACCAATACCTGATTTGATTCAACGGTTATGCGCAGTAGCAATGAATAATCCATTTTACTGATTGGAAGCGTACTATTTAAAAATAATCTTGCAATTAAATGATGATTAGTGGTGTAAATAGGCTGAGTTAGGCTAGGCTTTGACTTAAATAAATTATGTCTGTGTGAAAAAATGTTGTGTCTGGCCTAACCTGTTAGCATGTGTAGGCCCCAAATTACAAATCTGGCCTGACTTATATTTAAAAACTAAAAATCTTGGCTTGTTTAAGCTTATTAAACATTCAATAATTAAAAAAATAATTAAAATAATATTATTTTATTATTTAAAATTATTAAAATAATAATTTTATTTTTAAAAAAATAAATAATATGATATAGGTCGGCCTGTAGGCTTATAGGCCCGACATTTACATAAAAGTCTATGGCCTGTTTTTTAAATAGGTTTTTTTTAAAAGCTTAGGCCTGTTCTATTTAACTATTTGTAGTAGGTCAAGCCTGGCTTAATATAAGCTAGGCCGGCGGCTGACTTAGCCCATTTACACCCCTAATTATGATAGCTCAGTTGATGCCAGTAAACTAAATAAACGAAAGTAAAAATATGTATTTGATCCTTTTCAGTATTATTTTTATAAGAAATTTAAAGTCTTAATTCTAGGATCAGACCCAAATCAGACAAATCACAAAGTGATAAAACAATTGGAATATTTTTTTTAATTTTTTTTTTAAAAGGCACCGTATATCATTCAAGATTTATAGTATTATGATTCCAAATTTCCAATACATGCGATTAATACATCTACTACATCAATTCTAAGCATAATATACATATATGATGAGGTTGCATATTTAGTGGTGTTAATGATAGCCAGAAGACTAATGCAAATAGCAGATTGATCCACAAAACCAATCCAAACTACATAAAATTTGCCACGTTGTAGACAATACTGATTATAGTAAATAAAAAGAGTTCTAACTTCAAGTCATACATCAAAACCTGAATATACAGACCAAAGAAAAGGTTGATGAAAGAGGTAAATGCCAAAGGATCTAAGTTGCCCTGAGAGAGACATTGAGATAGGGTGGTAATTGAAACCCACTAATCCCGTTACTTCTAGCCACCTCCAACACCATCCCACACCTCCCAACAAACACTAAGCCATAAAACAACCAAATTGGGTGGTGGGGATGACATAGTTTGAAGGTGCTAATCAAGAGAGAGAAAATTAGCTGAACTTCAAACTATTGGTAAAGGACCTGATGTTAGAGCGGGATATGAAGGCCATGAAGCAGTAGGAGGGGTTTAAAAGGAAGAGAAGAGATTAGTATATCCAAAAGGGTTTGTAACTGAAATATCAGCATCTTCCATAGGATATGCGACGACCAACTTCATTGCTCCACACACTTGAGGACCCCTCCTTTTCATTACTTTTTCCCCAAATTAAAATCTTTTCTCTCTCTCTCTCTCTCTTTTGTTATAATCCTACACAGTTCAATTTACATACTTATCACGAAATTTTTTTTTGGATGGGGCAAAATTGAAAGTGTAATATTCCTGATTAGTTATAATTATATTTATGACCAAAAAAACATAGATGATATTCATAATTAAAGACTTGTGTGAAGTTGAAAGGGGCGATTTCTATTTATATGTAAAATGATCAAAAGCACTAAATGATGGTAGTTCAGTCGGCGTCAAGGTGAGGTGAGAGCATGTATTCAATCCTCCCCAGTATCATTTTTGGGAGAAGTTTAAAACCTTAATCTGGGGACTCGCCCCGAATTGTACTAGTCACGAAGCGATAAACAGATTAAAATATCTTCATATATATATATATATATATATATATATATATATATATATATATATGATCAAAAGTGTAAAGAACCACTTCAACATAAAATCTTAAGGTATTGGGTGAGGACCTTTTAATGATTTATATTATTCTCTAACACACTCACTCACGCAAGAGCCATTTGGGCTCGAAACCTGGATATTACACAGGTTCAATTTTTGGTTTACTTGTGTTTATTTTAATTCCACTAGAAAGTGGGGGCAGTGAGGATCGAACTCGTGACTTTGTGATCACTGAGGCTCTGATACCATTCTGTTCTTGCAAAAGAAACGGTATAATTTTTCCACTTTTTAAGTGAAGTATGATTTTCCCCGCTTAATGGATAACTGTTTGCTACCAATAGGGAAGTCTTTCTCATCTTAAATTGCCAATTAAAGTGATTGGGTTTGCACCAATCGAAATCATAAATTTAATATACAATAGAAGAATATAAGAAGAAGCCCAAAACCTTAAGGCATTGGGTGAATGTCTTTTTCAATGGTTTATATTATTCT